GGTAGATCTAGTACTAGTGTAAGTACTGAGGTTTAAGTTAAACTCTATAATAGGCTAATGATTTCGGAAACTAGTATATCACTAGATTTTTTTCGGTGAATTTCAAATGATAAAAATATTAATTAACTTCATCCCTGTAATAGGAAAAGATCCTGAATTAATAACAATTTAAAGCTTCAAATAAATAGTTTGCACCCATTAGAATACTTTCAATACAACTTCATAAATAAAGTCGTCCAGAAATGCTGTAAAATATCCTTGTAAATAATAATCATTACTTTTAACTGCATAGTAAAGTCCATTAAAAAGATTGTAGCTGATATCGTTTTGTTTAACACGATAACAAAAAAAGATCATTATTTCTAAAATCTGCTAGCTAATTTCTACTCATAAAGCTGTAATAAATTTTCGAAGATAAGCTGAAATCACTTATATGTAAATATGCATATTTTCAGCAATAGCTTTTACTGTATAAATTCAATTCGTTTGTATATTTTCCGACATATATTTCATGAAACTCCTGATTTGTAGAAGATTTAGTTTGTTTTATAATTCAAAACTACACAAGGGCTATCTACGTATACCAATCTTTAATTTTGAACTGATGGACTAGAGGGAAAGCCCCATTCTTATTGTGTACCCACGGCAACAAAGTGCAGGGCGCATTTTTGTAACAACAAGGTGCATACAATGATTTATCGTATTCACAATCCCAGCATGCTAACAATAGGTTACGCCCTCCTCAATTTGTAAAGGACATTTGAAATCTAGTTTACAATTGTTTTAGTAAGAGATGCAAGGCTTGTTTACTTACTTTTGGTGAAGTACTCTCTGAAGCTAACGGATGTACTTCTAAAGACGATCACAAGGTGGATGGCCTTTGGCCTAGATTACCTATTTTTCTGTATTCTGCTCTGTTACAGTTCAGGTTGTTGTTTTTTTTTATTGTGTTGAGCTTCTGTCCATGTTGTCCCTTAAAGTTCGGCCTCTGATGCTGTAACTCTACAGTAGTGCATAGAGATCTCTTATTTATATACTGTGAAAATTTTTAAAGTGAGTCTAACCTCATATCTAAATTTCCGCACCAAATATGCACTCTTTCTTAATATCAATTACCTTTCATCATGAAATCAGATCAAATGATGTTAGCTGTAGAATTTGTATTTTTTAAAGACTTAGGTTTTCATTTCCTGGCAATATGTCCTTTTAAGCTGCAATTGAAACGTCTTTTTTTTCTGTGATTACTTTCTATATAAACAGTTGTATAATTAACTTTATGGCAGCTTTAGCAATATACTCTTTTTCTCTGAAGTTGAAACATCTTATGGATTGTGGTTTGCTTTAATTCTGAGTAAACAGGTGTTTAGCAATCCTCAGAGATATTCTAGACGACATTCAGAGGGAGTTGATGTTTCCATACTATTTGATCTGACGATCTCATGATTTCTGGATGGAACTTTCAGTTGCTTATCTACATAAAAAACTGAAATGATTTTGAAGTTTGGAGTGTTAAGCGTCATAAAACCCGAAGGTTTCGTATAAAATATTGTGTCCTCAATTACTAGAGGTATGGCTACACTCTCTGTTTCCACATCTATGTTTATGTGCAATCTTAATTGATTCTTGTTCCATCGCCAACTGAAGAGTTCTCCTTAAAGATTTATACCTACTCTGCATTAATTTAATTTGTATATCTTAATCCAGTATGACATCTATGAATTGTTTGCATGCCAATAAAACCCATCGTTTTAGTAAGATAATTGGGCAAGTCTTTCGACATATTTAGAACGTTCAGCTAAGGTCTCGGCCTCCCTCTTTACTCAGCTCCTAAACTCTGCATTAGAAACTTCCTTCTAATGTGATACTCCACTCTGAGTCTATCTAATAAAGTGACCACTAATGCCTGGTAGTTGTTACAGCTTTCTCTAGGAAATTTATTTAATGTTGTTGAGGCTAGTCCATTTAAACCTGCAGAAAGATGAATAGTTTATTGTTCACTACTTCATTCATTCACCTGTTATGCCGCCTTTCGAGGTACTTTCCATCATAATCTGATGATTTCTCGACTGGTTGGTGTTGTTGAACTGGTTTGCTCTATTTCATGAGTGATTCAGGAAGGCCCTGCAAGCACACATGCTCTCAAAATAGCAGTGACAAATGCATATTCCATATAGCATAGTTAATTATGTTTGGAGTTAGAATTGTTGAGTAAATGAAGACGAATGTATGGCTTGCTTGATCCCTGCATTTTCCAGTTTAGTTTTTATATGCTTGATAGTGGTATTCATATTCTGTTGTACTTCGTTGATGTTTTCTTTTGTACATTTTCTTTGACTTCTTAGATCTTTTCATTATAATCCTTCTTTACTGTATTGATGTCCTTTTATACTCCATTCTTCCTGTTATAATCCTTCTTTACATCCGCGACTCTTTCAACTTCAATTTGTGCATTTTATACAGTTTCATCAATCTTGTTTTCGATCATATTTATTTTTGTTTACAATTCCACTGTAAGTCTTACGTCTCTATCTTGTAATTCTTCTCTATCTACTTCTTCTTAACCTTCTTTTAGTTTTCTGTATCTTTAATCTTTATTTCTCCTTTGTTTGATATATAGACACATACTCGGATCTAGCACTAGAGCAAATGTAGTAGTGTTTTATTTTTTAAAATTATTCTCTCACTGCATGACCAAACAGTATAACTACGTCCTCCAGTGTTCTTTAGCCTTTGAATTTTAAATTGAGAATTCATTCACGAAAGCTCTCTCCCACTGCGTAAGTTCTGTGTTAGCAATAGGACTTTTTTCTATAATCTAAATGGTTAATCTCTCTTTTCTGAATTTTCCACAAACTCGCTGGAACCGTAGCTAATTCATAGTCTGAGACGAAAAGTTTAATCTCCCAGAACGCCTTCTCTGAAATGACTAAACTAGTACATGTCGAATCTTCCCGGGTGTCTATTCGTGCATAAAACCTGACGCACGGTGGAGCATTAAAGAGATTATGGAAGTGGATTATCGTTGTTGTGACAATTCTGTTCTCTGTAATAAAGAAAGAACGGATAGAGAGTTATTTGGGAAGTAATGGGCAAATGACTACTTCACAATTTCGGGAAGTAATGGGCAAATGACCACTTCACAATTTCTCGAACGGGCTTGCTCCAAACCACTTTTACAAAAACACAACATGAAACTGAAATGATGTTGTCTGATACACTGCCCAATAATATTCGTGGATCTCCAATTTCTGCTCGATAAATGATCAAGTAACACTACACCATGTATCCGAAAACAAAATAAGAAAATCTTAACAATGCAACATAGAAACAAAATCTATATATTATTATTTTTTATAATCCGTTTTATTTTTTAAAAATTAAAAAACAATGTGTTTGTCAACATAATTCATCAGAGAGAAAAACCAATATAAGATTTAGAATATTGGATTAACTAAAACGAAAAACGTGCTACTTCGTGTATAATTCTTTTACATCCCGAATTATTAATTATTATAATGGATTGTTAATAATTTAAAAATATGTTTTCTTTTCTTATATCCGGTTATTTCTTGATTTTATTAAAATACATGCTATACTAAAGTTTCACACACTATATTTTGAATAGACATTTATAATGAAATTGAATGTAGAAAAAATTCAAATGTATATACTAAGCTGCTCTTAGAGACAACTTTGTTATTTGCTAAGTATATATATTTTGAGTAGTGTTTGTCTATGATCTCACAGGTTTTAATGTCAACCACTTGGACATCGCTCCTCGTTACGCTAGCCTCTTGATGGGAATGTCCAATGGATTCGGTACTCTTTCTGGAATGATTTGTCCTATAGTAGTGGAGGCTCTAACCAAACATTCGGTAGGTTATTTCAGTCGGTAGGTTATTTCAGTGCAATAACACCGTAAAAACAAGTTTAAAAAACCCACGTGAACACCAGTCAGTATTATTGAATTGCTTTGCCTTTTTCATCTTTTGTTTAGGTAATTTAGATGTAAACATTTTTTGAGTTTGCAGGACCATGAGTGATTCCAATGGTTAGTGTGCCGAACTTCCGCTCATTTTGGAGCCTTAAGTGCGTTATTATAGGAGTAACAGTCAAGTCCCATTATTTGTTAGAGCAGCCCAAGAGTTCGCAGTGAGCGGTGTTGACTAGCTACCTTTCCTTTGGTCAACTACTTCAAATTAGGTACGACTAGCGCAGATAACACTCGAGTAGCTTTGCGCAAAATCCAAGAAAAAACAAGTGAGTTTGCCAATAGACAACAGCAAGATTGGAATTTATGTTACGAAGTTTGTTATAAATTTCGCGCAAACCTTCTCGAGGGCCATCTGCGAATATGTGTGAATATCTGCATATTACTTCACCAAGAGCTGAACCTTACATCTTTACTCTAATTCTCCTTAAAGTAATTCTTAGCTTGATGGTTGTATAGAAATTTGAAGATTACTTTTCCAAAAGCTCTCACGTTTCAAAAATATACAGTACGTAATTAGTTTTTTGTTTGTTTTTGAATTTAGCGCAAAGCTACACGAGGGCTATCTGCGCTAGCCGTCTATAATTTAGCAGTGTAAGATTAGAGGGAAGGCAGCTAGTCATCACCACCCACCGCCAACTCTTGGGCTACTCTTTTACCAACGAATAGTGAGATTGACCGTCACATTATAACGCCCCCATGGCTGAAAGGGCGAGCATGTTTGGTGGAATGCGGATTCGAACCCGCGACTCTCAGATTGTGAGTCGAGCGCCTTATCCACCTGGCCATGCCGGGCCTAATATAATGAGGCGTGTCTGTTTGCCATCAAAACCCAAAACAATGTAAAAATAAAAACATTAAAGTTCAAAACTCAAATGATATACTTTAAGTTACAGCTTAGTGGAGTATAATGTGAAGAGCAGTACTTGCTGTATGTTGATATACACTTGAAAACTTCTTTGCGCACACTTCAGTTATAAACATTTGTGTGTGTGTGTGTGGTGTATGAATTCGCCACTATATTATTCTACATTTTACAAGCCCTTTTAATAACTATAATAATTTTAACTGTTTGAACTAATTCTTCACAAGAAGCTTGTGGCTACAACACACTGAAGCCCCAAAAGTAAAGCACGGGCTTGGTATCACAGGTCGCGAATTACAGTTTCAAAGGGAACATTTTCAGACTTCTTGCACAAAGTATAGTTGGAAGATCTAGAATATGCGAATGGAAAAAAGGGTCTACACGTTCTAAATGAATCAGAATAGTACTGAAAGTCAGTAAGCTGAGGAAGCTCTCACCAAATAGTCGCGGACTCCAATATCAAGAAGTAACAAGCGTATTACTGGTAACGTGATGTCATCGAGCAAAATATAGAGGCTTAGCATAATCTACAGGCACTGTAGATATAGAGCAATGTAGGGATTGTTCTACAAATTAAAGCCCACACTATCACACTTCGTAGCCGTTAGAATATACAAAAAGCTCAACTAAGCGTGATGTACAAAGCTTACAACCAGATTATCTATTGTGCTTCACAGAATAGTGTGTAAAATTTCTGCCAGACAATGTTTTGTGGTTTACCTCACGTTATTTTTGTTTTCTACTGAATGATGTCTTGCGGTTTACAGTACGCTTTGTATGTTTTTCATCTGATCATGCTTCCTGGATACCACATATATCTAAGTTTTCCATTATGGGTGATTGTCTAGTGGTTTACAGTACATTATATATGCTTTTCGCCAGGTGATGTATCGTAGTTTACAATACATTATGCATGTTTTCCACCATAAAATATCTCGCGACGTATAGTGTGTTATGTATATTCTCCACTATGTGATCTCTTGTGGATAATGTATTTTTTCCACCAGATGATGTATTGTAGTTTACAGTATAGTTTATATTACATTATGTGTTTTCCGAAATATATTTTCTGGCTTACAGTACCTTATACATTTTATCCACCAAGTGAAGAGAGTTGTTCATAGTACATTTTGTATACTACACTTTCTACTCAGTGAATTTCATACAAAAATGGATCATTAATTGGTTGGTTCGCACTAAGCGAATGCTTGATGAATAAATCCCCAAGTTATGTTAACACGACTAGTGTTATCGAAAGAATTAAAACAGCGGCTGGTTTACCCTTACACTGGTTGGTAAATTTATAGCATGAACGGACACTTAATCTAACTATTATTCTAATCCTACTTTACTTTTGATTTATGCGTTCAAACCGTCAATATGAAGTAATCTAAAGAAATTCTGATCATTTAGCTTCAATCTAAAAAGGAAGAAGAGAATGAAATTTGGATACATTTAATATTCACCGTTTATATAGTTTCTTCCTTTATCAGTGTAGTGTACTTATCTGATAACTTATGTTTGTGTAGAAAAAACAACAACATTAAACGGAACAAACAGTCAGAAGTCTTGATATTGGAAAAACTAGTTTCCACTCATTCATGTGTCCTCTTCAATCTCACGTTTTCTTCTAAGCAAGAAAACTGGTCAACAACGCCTACGTAGCCAGTTGATTTGCTTTACGCCATCCATCAGAGGATCAACCATTCTTAATTTTTTATAGTACTGCGTGTGAAACATTTGCACATGTTATGTTTGTGGCACTGTCTATTGTGGTTCGTTACTTTCAGCAATTCAGAGGAAAGCTTTGTTTATGGTCTCCATTTCTATCATTATGCTACTTGTATGAAGCGTGATTTCTCCATCAACCTTATGCAGAATGTTGTTATTCCACAGAAGGGTGAATTCCAACAGTACTAGCTCTCTTACTGTCTTTGTTGTAAGAACCATCATGCTATTGCTTACCATGTTCTTGGAATAGGTGCTGACATGCTTTTTTCTGCTTCACTCTCCACCCAATCTCTACATTTTGTGTCAATATTTACTTCTAAAGATCCAGTGACATCAAATATTTATTCAATATAGAGACATCTGAGAGCAGGTGGTAATGAATTGTGTCAGTGGTGGCTGTATAGCACCTGTCCACCCATGGCTGTCTCCTGAGGCACCTTTTAGGTAAACCACTGCTTAGCCGATGGTTACAGGATGATTGTGAGCTCGATGGTGGAATGAATGTATGGTCTTTACGCTGAATGGTTTTGCTTGTATCTGTTGTTAGTTTCAACGATGCTACTAAGGCCTGTGACGTGAATAGGGCTTTGATGGGAGTGGTTGAATAACATCTTGTGACTAGTCTTAAACAGATGTTTCGTATCTTTTTAATCTTATGTAACTGTGTAGCACTTATAATGATCATCAAGAATGTATAATCTAGGACAGAGCAGATAATACTTTGTTGCAATATAAACAGGTGATGTTTTTCATCTTTATTTCCTACTTCAATTTTCAGTGGACTGATGCCTTTGTTAATGTGAATGGTGAAGCTGAGTTGTTTGTCAAAGTTTATACACAAACCCACATGTTTCCAGTGCTTAAAAGGGATGGTGATGGCTTGTCTTTATTAGCATGTCTGATGTTGAATGTGCAAAGTATAGCTGTAGCTTCAGCAGTATATATGACTATTCCTACGCTATTGCATCATTTAATCACACTTAAGGGAAAGTTGCATCTTGCTTTCGATTTCAGCATTGTTAGAGCCTCTGCTGTACAACACAATGTCGTAAGCAAAGGTTAGCGCATGACATTTGCTTGGACTGTCGAAACATGGTGTAGACGTTGAAGAGGACTGATGAAAGTGGTGATCCTTGAGGCACACCAGTGTTGATAATGCTTCATTAGTTTACTTAGATATTGAGTAAAGTGATAAATGGAAGAAGAAAAAACAGACAAAAGAATATATTACGAAACAGTTGAGTTTTAAGTTTGTAAATTTAGAATTTTAGTCCTAAAGAAGTTTGTATGTCGTTAAGATTAGGGCTGTCTTTAGCTAGGAGCAAATTTTCTTTAACTTAGAGTTCAGGGTCTCAATATCCTGTAGTAACCATAGAGAATTCGTTATATGAAATATTGTGACCTATTGTTTCAGATGTGAACGAAAGAATGAGTGGCTGGGTTTAAGTAATGGATGATCGGTTCTGATCGATATCCAAAATGTTCACAGACTCTAGTTTTTATGAGGCGTTTTGCCAATGTACGTGACCTTACAGTCACTACACGTATACATATATACAAACCATGAGTGTAGAAGTTTAGGTATTTGATATTTATATTGAAATAAGTGTTTAATGCTGAGGCTAGACCTATATATATTAGTCTGACGATAGAAGCTTTTTCATTAAAGAGAATAATTGTTTTTTTTTTCATTTGTAAGGATTGTAGGCCCATAAAAAGAAGACAGATAATGAGGAGAAATTTGGGGATAGCGTGCAAAATAGCGCGTGGCTGGAATTTGTTGTTTAGAAAATTGTGAGTAATATTTGTTAGAAAGTCAGTTGGAAAGACATTATTTAACAGGTGTTTGTGCAGAAACGCAATTTATCCGCGTAAATTAGGGTAAAAATTCTGTTTAACAGTGACATGACTAGATTTTGTTTGAAGAAGTTGGGGAAGAAGCTATTAAAATTAGTATAAAGGCCTATAAAAGTACTTGTACGATAAACAGAGGTAGAAAATGTTTACCTTCTTTGGTAATCTTGATGTCTAGCATAGGCGTAGGAGCTTGATTTTGACCGGGGGGGGGGGAAAGCAGGTTTTGGCCGAAAATATAAAATCGACCTTAGAATCATAAGGATGACGCAATAGTATACTTTGCAACATGTAAAGTGTATGAGATTGTTTTCCATTCTCATCGGGGTTTTTTACCACCTTTTAACCTTGTACAGTAAATTATTGTATTTTAGTAATTTGGAGACTGGAAACAATCTCGTGTTTATAGAATCGTGTATAAAATAATCGTTGTTTTTTAAACACTGTGAGTTTTAAACACTGAATATTACACACGTGCCAAAAAATTTGTTTAAATTTTTAAAAATTAAAAAACAACAACAAAAACATGTACTATAAGGCTTACAGTCGTTTGAAAAAATGGCTCAAATGACTTCCATGCGGAACCATACGGCGCTAAAGGGTTAAAAAGGTGCAAGTGAAAATGTCACGTGTAGGTAATATATTTTCTGAAAAGACAATCAATTTGCAAATATAAAAGTTATAGATATGCACGGAGCTTTTGTCCTAATATTTGGGTGATTTTTGCCCGAAAAACTATTTTGGCTACAATTTGGGGGCAATCCTATGCTATCATAAATGCAAGTGGCTAGAAAACAGCTCACGTGAATTCAAGTCTGTCCTTTACAAATGCGAAATTGATGACACTTTCTTGCTGTTTTGACAATCGAGTCGGTCACGTTTTTAAGTTTCTTTTTTACCTTAATTCCTAATACCTCAATATCAAATTCACATCCGAACTAGAAGGAAATGAACCTTTACTTTTCCTAGACATCATAGGCGTAGGATGCGGGGGAAAACTAGTGGATATCGTTGGAACTAGGATCTCATTTATGACCACATAGATGGAATCGCCATGGGATCCCCACTAGGTTCAAAGATAGCCAATGTAGAAACCACAGGTCACCATATTTCATATAACGCTATCTCTATCATTACTAAAGGATCTACAAACCTTGAACTCTACAATAAAGATAGTTTACTCATAGTTAAAGACGGCCCTACTCTTAACGACTTACAAATCTCTTTGATTGGTTGATTTGAAGCAAAGCCACATTAGGCTACTTGCTGTGTCCACCAAGGGGAATCGAACCCCGGGTTTTAGCGTTGTAAGTCTGTAGACTTACTGTTGTCCCATTGGGGGACACCTCTTTAGAACTAAATTTTTTCTAAATTTACAAGCCTAAAACTCAACTGTTTCGTAATATATTCTATAATCTGTTTATTTTCCTTCCGTTTACTACTTTACTCAATATCTAAGTAAACTAGTGATTAGTGATACTATAGCATTAGTTAATAAATATCTTTATAACACTATTTTCAGATTTCCCTGAATTTGGAATAAGTGTACTTCGAAACATTCGAATCTTGTAACTAAAATGTTTTGTGTTTTGTCAACCGTCTTCGTTTTTATTATTAGACTTCATTTTCCTTATCATGAACCCATGGCCAAGTTCAATTGGGATTTGACGACAGGTAAGGATTTATCAGAAGGGTGTTTTCGTAGCCCCTTACAGTGTTTCTATATTGGTAAGCTACAAGTTATGTAAAACACTTGAATTGTGTTGTTCTTCATATATTTATACATTGACAATGGCCTATATTTATTTTTTGCACTTATTTAAACACACCGTAATTTTTCAGACTGCAGCAGAGTGGGAGAAAGTTTTTCTTATTGCTAGTTTGATACACTTTGGCGGAGTAATATTTTATGCAATCTTCGCCTCTGGAGAACTACAACCGTGGGCAGAGGCACCTAGTAAAGACGAAGGTCCATCTTGGAATCCACTAGAAAACGCATTTAATGATACAACTCAGCAAATAAAAGGAGTCGCCGCCCTTGTATCTGTTGATGGTACGAGACAGCCGTCGTATGGCGCCACAATCGATAGTCAAAAGCCAGTATTCTCCACGAAAGAAGAACTAGTACAAGCGCTCCCTCGTGATCAGTATATGCATGGAAATGTTGAGGACAGAGAATATTAAATGAGGGGTTCATATTAATTATAAATTGCCAAAGCAATATAAATGTTTATTAACCAGTGTAATAATTTCAATTATAATCTCAGATGAATAATTTTATTATCATTAATAAAAATGCGTTTTCTTTAAGATGTTGTTCAGAAAGAAAAAGTTGCAGGTGGACGAAAATTAATAGACTTCCATCTATTATATTTAAAGGAGTGCATTCTATATGAAAAAAAAAGGTCACCCAAAATCGTTTTCTTGTCATCACTGATATTATCACCGTCATAAGGAGAGAGAAAAAGATATTATTCAATTGTTTTTTATTTCACATAATGTTTATCCCTGTTTCTTAGGTAAGTGGAGGAAGTTGAAATTAAATATTCTAACATTAGAAAAAAACTAGTCTTAACAGTTTTACGATTCTTCTCCCATTTTGGTTTAATAAATGATTCAATCGTTCCTTATTTTCTACGTAGTAAATATAACTTATTACTGTTTTGTTCATTGCACGAATTTCTGAGATCCGTCATCGTGCTTTTTAAGTTAAGTTTATTTATTAATTAATGTTCCAAACCCATATGCGGATCCAGAGATTTTGTAAAGGGGAAGCGGTAAATAGAAATGTGCATATACTTATATAGTAATAATAACGACTCAATGGCTTCAATGTGACATTTTTAGAAATAGAACGAATTATTTACACTTAATATGTAAAATAAAAGTAAAACCGTATGAATTTTACCTGGTTTTTATATTAATCGAATTCGCTTATAAAAAATATATTTTTATTGCAAAGGTTGCCCCTCTGGATCCGTCAATGTATAAACCCATTTTTTCCTATCTTTAAGATTAAGTTTTTAGACTGGTAACAATTTAAATCAATTATCTTGTCTCTGAGATTAAGCCTAGTAATCTTTTAAACCAATTATCCTGTCTCTGAGATTAAATCCGGCAATCTTTTGAACCTGTTATTGTGTATCTGAGATTAAGTTCAATAATTTTGCACAATGTATGAAAATAAACTTTTTTGCACAATGATTTTATGAATGTATACAAGATATTACAGGAAGCTCCCTCAATCCCTCAATGAAAATTACTGTATATCTATACAGAACTCTTTCTTGTAATTGGTTCTTACGTAATCACGTCAAATTGAGGTTGTCATTTCGTTGATGTGTGTATTAGGCATGGAACTCAATATTACGAAATATGTATGAAAAACAGTTTGAGTCAATTCGTGTTACAGAGGTGTTAATACTTATAAGAAACCATTGTTAACTAAAACTCGCGTTCATAAGAAAATTGTGTTATTATTATTATTCTGTTTCATATTGATGTTTAACAATATTTTACATCAAAATCATTATAAAAAGGCAACTAGTTCCTTAAGATATTTGAATGATCATAGAAATTATATGATAGGCATTTTCATGTATCTAGCAAAGGTTCTAGAAAAGTGTTACTTGTTTTCATCGCAAAAACAAGAACAACATTAGTTTAAACAATGTGAAATTAATTTATTTCATATGACTTTTTAACATTTTGTTTCTTTGTTCTTAAGTGCAAAGTTACACAATGGGGAACCTACGCTGTGCCAACTGCGGATATCAAACCCCAATTTTTAGTGTTATAAGTCTGCAAGCCACCAGATTGTACTTTTTTACATAACATGGCCGATGAGCATTTTGAAAAAGACTTCTATTTCTGAGATAATATTAGATAACAATTAAATGTATATCGTCATGAATCAATACTACTGGAAGGAATCTTGTTTGTCTTGGAGATTCAATAAATCGTAATGTTGTGCTATTCTCAGGTGCACTGATTTATGTTCGAGTAATCGGGTTGATCCAGCAGAATATTACCAGAAAATCTATTACAGGACAAACCTCCACCGATTTCGAAGAAAGAAAAAAAGACTGAACATAAGTAATAATCGAAATTTAAACAAGTGTATTTTAGATCGCCTTAACTGGACACTTCTCAGAAAGAATTGCGTTAGAAGTGTGTTGGATCTAAAACTGTTTAAGACTAAGAAAATATAAGATTATATAGATAAAAAATAAAGTTATTATCTTCAGGACGTAGGAACCACCAACGTGAATGATTAAAGTTTTAACTTTAAAGTATTACCTGACCTGCCAGTGGAAAATACCACTGTCTATTTGATATCTTATGCTTCATTTTATAGAAATTTCTCCCATGAAAAGTGCATATGACACCCTAGTTCAGTAGGTAGTTTAGAACTGGAGAAGAACTTAGTGCCCTTAATATGTAAGATACATTTAGAAAAAAAAAGGGGGGTAAGAAACATGTAGTATGCCTTAATAGCCATGCTATTTATAGACGTGACAAATTAATAGATGGAAACTCATTCGACGTTTTAACGAACATTTTCCTCTTATTTTGAAACTTATTTGACAACCTCACATGCTTCAGAGTATGAAATTCACTTCGGTTAAAACCATTCAGAAAATTCAAATCTTCTACCTAAACATTATTTTAAACAGCTGGTGTGGAGTTATTTAATTGTAAGATTAGTTATACTCAGACCAAAAATTAAAAATGGCAAGCTCAATTGTTTTGTTACTCAGTTAGAGGCATATAAGGTTAAAAGTGTTTGTTTATACCGTAAAACTACTTGTAATGTTATTTCCCATGATTTAACAAATATATGTGACCAATCTTATCCACTCGACATTCATGACTTATATTTTGAAGCAAATAATTAATCTGTATATTACTTGCTAGAGAAATTCCCATGATTAAGGAGAAATGGTTGGCGATGGTCACAGTAACACAAGCAAATTTTAAGACAAATATCTTATCTGTAGAACAATGTACACAATGTTTACTTCCCATCATTGAAACTTATATAAAGAATATGAAATAGTGAATAAAACTTAGCATTACATTGCAGGAGATGTCAAAATGAGTGTCAATGTCTTCCAAAATATGGTAGAGCCTAGAGCTTTTTTTTTACATATAAGTTACATAATTGTAAACACCTAACTTTATCATGTGTCCCAACACGTAATTCACTAAAACCTGATGGAATAGTATACTAATATCACACATATTCTTAAGCACACAACTTTCCCATGCGCCACAGCACATAGTTGAACGTCCCACTAAAACCTGATGTAATCTAGGTAATTAAAAGAACAACGTGTGTCAACCAGCCCATGCATGTATGCATGCTAGCTCACATGGAAACCCAATTTTCCTATTCAGTAATTGCATAGTGGTACTTTTGCGTTTATACGAGTGCAAAATTGAGACATTTATAACATTAATTTTAAAGACAGTTACTTCAGTAACACGCAAAGAAAGTTAATTCTTTACCTTTCATTGGCGTATAAGTAACTCAGTATCATTACATCTCAATACAAATTCCAGCAAGCGCTTAAAAATCAACAATTATGCTTAAAGTTTAAATATTGTTGCGTCAGCGAGTCACATGACTACTGTGGCGCCCTCTAGTTTCTAGAACTATCTTGTTCT